GCTATTAAATTAGATAATAATTTATAATTTTACTAAATGTAAAAATTACGTGCCTCAACTTTCCTGCGGGTGTTTCAGTCTTATCTGCGTCAAAATTTAATAAATTAGTTCTCAACAATTAATAACACGTGGAATAATAAATTTCTAGTAATTTGCGAACGGCGGTTATATTATAAATAATTCACCTCAGTGTGAAAAAAAAGGTAATTTCAAAAAATTATCCACGGTCTTAAATTTCGAAATGCGACACAGTTTTCTCAATAAATAAATTCCGGTAATTAAAATTGTTCCGAATAATTAATTAAATAATTTTCCACGAACAATAAATAGAATAAAATAATTAATTAAGTGGTAATTCAATTGCTAAAATTAGTCCATGTATTTATTTTCTAAATTTTACTGCGTCACCAATTCTTAAGGAATGTGCGCTTAAAATGGAGAGGCTAGGTGGTGCATAGCAGCTATAGAAGCGGATGCCTTCTACTGATACTGCTACAAAGCCGGCATTGCTGTTGTCGACTGCGTTTTGGATAGAAAGCTTGCCACATGACCAGATGACAGCTTTGGATGTGCTGTCAGATTCCCAGGGTTGGGTACTCAGGTGTTTATATGGCTCTGCTATCAGTACCAAGTCCAGCTCTAATTCTCGCACGGATTGCATGAGCAGGTCATGCGCTGCCTCACAATGGTTGAGATTGAGCTGCAATATCCTCATGCTTGTTTGCTCGTCAACTACTGGAATGCATTCTGAAATACCGGGCACTTATGGGTACCGGCATGGTCGGCAACATTCTCTGCACTTTCAATCTCAGCACATAATGCACATTTGGCTGGATTTCTACAATCAGCAATCTTGTGCCCTTCTTGTCCGCACCTGATGCAAAGCCTAGACCGACCGACTTTGCTTTTGCACTGGGACCCGAAGTGCCCAAAGTGCCAGCATTGGACAGGTCTCTTCGTTGCTCTAATTCGACAGTTGTCCCAACCAATTCTCACTTTGCTGTTACCTTCGAGTAACTTCTGTGCAGTTGTCGCTGGTAGCGTCACTGTAGCAGTCTGAATACCTCTGTAGGCTTTACGGATCTTAAACGACTCCAGAGGTATTTCACAGATTTCTCCAGCTTCATTTTTCAGTGCAGTTTGAATGTCTGCCTTCGTCGTGTCGTCATTGACGTCTCGGATCTCGATAGTCTACTGTGGCCCTTTGCAAATCACTTTGGCTTCCTCTTTAAGGATGTCCGCGATGGTCTCTTGTAGGGCTTCGCCTCTATTAGCACTCTTTCTCGAAAGTGTGATCAACATATCCCCGGTATTGGTCTTGTGGATTTTCTCCACGATCGTACGGACCTGTTCATCAGGGACCTACAGATGCCCGGTGTTTCAGGAGGTGCTCCAGAAGTTGACGAACAAGCATGAGGATATTGCAGCTTAATCTCAACCATTGTGAGGCAGCGCATGACCTACTCATGCAATCCGTGCGAGAACTAGAGCTTGAATTGGTACTGATAGCAGAGCCATATAAAACCTGAGTACCCAACCCTGGGAATCTGACAGCACACCCAAAGCTGTCATTTGGTCCTGTGGCAAGCTTTCTTTCCAAAATGCAGTCGACAACAGCAATGCCGGCTTTGTAGCAGTATCAGTAGAAGGCATCCGCTTCTATAGCTGCTACGCACCACCTAGCCTCTCCATTGTCGACTTCACTGATTTCCTAGATCGACTAACCGAAGATGCGAAGCAATATCATCCAGTAGCGATAGCCGGAGACTTCAACTCCTGGCAGTTGACTGGGGCAGCAAACATACAAACGCAAAGGGAAAGCACTACTGGAGGCCTTTACTACACTAGATGTAGTTCTGCCCAACAGTGGTGATACGCCGACCTATACCAAAGGTGACGCAAGCTCAATTGCAGACCTCACTTTTGTCGGTAATAGCCTTGCCAGAGCCGACTGCAACTGGAAAGTGTTGGACATCTACACTGCAAGCCGCCATCATGCGATATTCTGGGAAATATCAAGCAACCAGAACCCCAAGA